GAAGACATCGAACCAAGTATATTGTGGATGAAATGTGAACTATGTCAACTATTTGTAAGAGAAGATTACCGAATTGTTACATGTCCCATGGGGAAATTTTATCGACTTTTCACGCGTGAGGGACCGTGAAATGTCAACTTGGACTTTCACGAAATTTTGTAGGTAAAGACAGGAAGTTTCACAACGGTTTGGTTGTGTTGTTGCAACATCACACGCGCGGCCACGCGTGAAAAATCTTCACACGTGTACACAAGTGAATAATCTTCACGCGTGATTACGTGTGAAAAAATCTTGACCATGCCGACCATCTATAGTTAACTGACTATAGATGGTCACCATAGTCAAGGTATCATGCAGTCTTCATTAATGCAATTTCATCTATAACTTTTTCCACGTGTGACCACTAGTTTCTAAAATATCACATTTTATATATATCACCACAAAGTAAGAGTCGAACCAGGGTACTTTAAATTAGAAATCTACGATACTACTATTGAGCTAGCTGCCTGAGAAACTACTGAATAAATCTCATATTCATACTTGTCGAATCAATCTTCACGAATTACCACGTGTAAAAAAGTTCTCACGCGTGATTATTCGTGAACTTCCTAAATCGTGAATAATATTATTCACGAAATGAGTTGCGTGAAACATTGACGTGCGAATAAATGTGACGATATTTTTCACAATGGAATTAGTGAGAATCATTTTCACGCGTGTCCGCAAGTGATGTTTTTTTACGGAAATTTTAACATGAGAAATTCACGTGTGGCCACTACACACCTCACGACTTTCACCTGTGACCACGTGCGAAAATATGACGCGAAACGTTTTCGTAACCAGTTCACCTGGTGTCACACGTGGAATATATTTTTCACGCGTGCCCACACACCATTTTACGATGTTCACGTGCGACCACAATTTATTTCACGTTATTCACGCGTGTACACACCGCGGTAGTTACTAAAATTTCCCCATCGGGTAGCCATTATTGTTGTTGTTGTTGTTTTGCATATTTCTTACGAGTGAACTGTCTCAGGTGTCAAACTCCATTTTCAGTGATCTTATGTCAGTTGATAGTGGAATATGTCCTAGTTAAAAGTCTAAAAGGATTTGTGCCCATGATACTTCTTTCAAGAGTTATGAATTTTTTTTGTTTCATTGGGAAAACAGGTACAAAAACAGTAAAATTTTTGTATCTTGATAAAAATAGCGAATTTTGAGTTGGTATTTTTTTCTATGTTTATTCTAATATTCGATTAACATCATAGAAAGAATCACCATTTCAGCCTCTCTAGAAAATAATCTATTGAATTATTTTTGTTTTTAAAGAAAACCATGTTTTCTCAATAATTCATTTCTCTTTTGTTATGATTAATCATATGCAGTCCTGTTAATGTTTCCTAATGGACAAGCTACCTTTTCTATCCTTGCTTTCTATAATTTATTTAATTTGTTTGTTTCGGTGATGTAATTGATTCTCTATGTGAATAACAGTTATTCCATCATTGTAATGGTTTGATAAGATTGTTGGCCGATCTTTTTTATACCGGCTTTTCCAGCGAAACCAAAAAATCATAACTCTTAAAAGAAGTGCCGTGCACTCTAAAAAAAATGTATTTTTACAGAACCTAAAAAGGGTTCCGAATTTTGCAACCATTTCGAAACCATTTTAAGGTTCTGTACGAAATAGGTTTAGTACAGATTCTCTATATTTTTTTGTTCAGAAAAGATTTCGTACACAAGGTCTCGTGTCGATCTGTAGCCTTGAGAGCTTCAAAACCATTGTGGGCTTCGTATAAGTTACGAAACCTAGCTGGTTTCGGGAACTAACTACGAAACTTTTGGAGAGTTTCGTATTAAGTACGAAACCCTTTAGATTCTGTAAAAAAACATTTTTTTTAGAGTGTGGGCACAAATCTGTAAATGTTGCGTGTTTTAAAACGTGAGTTGGGTTTATTTCACAACACTTAACATACGATCAGAGTTTCTAATTGTTTTTAGGGATGGGAGGTGTTAAAAATTTTCTTCGCGGAAAGTGGCTCACCAAAAAAAGATTTCTAAATTTTTGGCAGAAAGTTGCTTGTGGAAAAACGTAAAAGATTTTGTCAGAAAGTCCAGAAACGTTTTTAAGGAGGGTCTAGTCCCCCCTGATCGGGAAGCCTACATACGATAAAAAAGATGAAAATGAGACACAGAAAAGGGAGACAACACGTGTATATATATCATAAGAACACGTGACGTCATGTTGAAACCAAATTAGAAGATGTTGCTATCACTTACTTATTGTGATAATGTTGCTCACAGAGATGGGCAACTCCGGACAAGTTCTACTCCTACTCAACTCTAACTCCAACTCCGCTTCAACTCCTATAGGAACTTATTTTGTCGTGATTCATTTTCTTCTTTATTTTATTAGCAGTTATTTATTTCGCTTTTGTTACGAGAGTACGCACAAAAAAAGTCATTTTAACAATTCAACAAAAAAAGGAAAAAATTGCCATACTTGTAAAAATCTTCAACTGGAGTTGTGGAGTTAAAGTTGAAAAAATCTGAACTCAATTCAACTCAACTCTAATCTTAAAAAACGCAAGTCTAACTCTACTAAAAAGATGCTTAACTCAGGAGTTGGAGTTGCCCATCTCTGGTTGCTCATAAACACATTTCGTCAATTTTATATATAACTCAGACTAGAGTCATCATCAGCCGGTATAAAAGTTGAGGAAAAATTTTATAGCATTCGCATTTTCTTCTCTTTCAAGATAACTAAATAAAATCTGAGAAAAGATTTAAGAAGTCGAATAGTCTCAGGAGTTTGAAACGGAAATGTCGTTAAAACTGATGGAAATTGGGTTTAGACTCTAGAAGATAGAGACCACCTCACTAAATACAACAACCAAATAAAATAAAATATTTCCCCGATCTCCACAACCGTTCTGCATTCTATGTTACATCATCTTCGACTATTCAAGAATATCACATCATTTTCTTGTGTCATATGACTTAACAAAATCGTTAAAGTGTCAGAAGAAGTCACTGTGACATCATGCCAGTGACTTAGCTCAGATTTACTATTAACAAATATTCGTAATTGGTTTACGAAATCATATCCTCTTCATATCCTCGTATTTAATCGAGAATAGTTTGAGATCTACAGTTAGAATAAATTTTTTGGAAGTTATTTCATACTTTTCCATATATGTAACATCACGTGACTTTTGAGAGCGAATGGAAACTTTTAGAGATATATTAAGCATTTTATTCTACTTTTCTTGTTGACAACGAATATGGCATTATTTTGATGTGGAGGAAACAACAGTTTATTCATAAACTAAAGATAATTATTTCTAAGGCTGACTGATGACCGAAGTCTTTTATCAGAAAGTTACAAGAACAAAAGGAAACTTAGCAGTGTGTTTATAATTATATTAAAAGATCATATAAGTTTTCTATTGATATGTAATTTTCATACTCCTTGGCTCGAAAAAGTATTTGCTCAGTTAGTTGATTACAATAATCTTTTAACTTGGGTAATTTTCTATCTTAATAAATGTATGTCGTTGAAGTGTAGCATGGTATCTCCAATGGCGTTCTTAGTCCTTTGTTCTGCAGTATTTCCAACTGGTTCCATATTTTTTATTGTCTGCTTTTAATAACACTTTTATTCCATACGTCAACACTGGTCTAATTAAGAATTTAAACAGGTTGATCATTATTCTGGGATTAGATTGTGGTGAGGATTTTGGTTGGTTGTAACGTTAATTTTCAAGATCGACACCAACGTTGAAAAGCGTCTACCGATTCTTGCAGTCGTTTGTTTTGTTTTGATATGAACAGTTTTTGTACTAGAGTCTAGACCAGACATTGGTTAACATCAGACTATTTTTCTTTACGCTTCAGTTGAATGTTCTCTTTATAAAAACAATTGCGAATATTTGTTAATGGTTAATCTGAGCTATGTTGTAAGTAAATCAACGACTAATCATTAGTATATAACAGTAGGTCAAACACTGAATGATTAGAGAAAAAAATATATTTTACGACCGTAGTCATGATATAATGCATAGGTTTCCTTTCGAGCAACTTTTGTCGGATATGTCCATCCAGTAGTGCTCGAAAGGGTTGAAATGATCAAATACGATGATTCTGATGAGTTTTGGACACATTGGATCAATAAAATGCGACGGGCTGACTTCAGATCTTATGCGGACATACCTTTTTATACTAACTTCAAACTTACCGGACGATAGACGGGATTCACGCGAGAAAAAATTATAAAAATTCACACAGAGTTCAATCATAGGAAACACGCAGCATTTTTTGCATGGATGTGGACTAGAGAAATAGTAGCTCAATCACATATGCTCATTTATTTAAAAGATATTTGCTTACAAAGTCTTTTAACATTTGAGGTTGTCTAATGTACTCTGTATTTTGATTCATAAATTTTACTCGCTCATTATAGTTTACGCTGTCCAGATCATTGCGAGCCACGAGGTAACTTTAGCGTTTTATGATCTAAGTAATTTTTTATTTCGTATAAAAATCATTTATGGCGTTTTTAGTTTTTGATAACTAGTATAAAATAAAACTTAAAAATCATAGAAAATATATTGAAAATTATTACCTTAATAATATGAGAACGTTTTTCTCCCGGAGAATAAGTTTTTTGCGGAATTCTTGGTGCATTAGACTTCTTGATCTGATAACGGTGGAATTGATCATATAAAGTATATGAAGTGGCCAATTTGATTTTATTAGCAGTGACAGCTGCTATAATGATAAGAATTATTTTTGTATTTATGAACACTTGAGTTGAAAAAGATTAGATTTATTATCTCCAGTGATTGCTATATATAAAACTGGCGAAATGTGTTTTTAAGCAGCATTACCACAATAAGTAAGTGATAGCAACATCTTCTAATTTGAGGTTACAGATAGTTTTCGTTTTTTAGAACCCCATAGTGTAGTTTATTACAAAAAATTAACTACACATAAAAATGAAATTCATCTCGGTTGTCCTAACGGTCTTCCTAGCTGTGTCGATCAATAAATCATTTGGACAAGATGAATTGTTTCCACCAGTGGGTTCTTGTGGCATAACAAACATTGAGCCAAAAGAATCAACAAGAATTGTAAATGGTATTGCAGCCACTCCTCATTCATTCCCATGGCAATGTCTTTTAGTTGGATTTTTTACCAATGGAACAGCTAAACATTATTGTGGATGTTCTATAATTTCACCCCGTCATATCCTCACGGCTGCGCATTGTGTTGTGGACATGAAAAATGATCCAGACAATGTTCGTATCTATCCAGGATTACACTATTTTTCAGCTAGTACGTTAATAAAAGATAATGGGTTACCATGCCGCGAAATATTTGTACATGGATCCTATGCTGCATCAAGTTTAAATAACGATGTAGCAGTTCTACGTTTAAAAACAGCCGTTCAAATTGATTATGAAAAAACAGCTCCCATCTGTTATCCATTAGCGACAAATGCTGATGCCGTTAAAGTAAACGAAGAAGTTATCGGTAAGCAAAGTAATCTATATGCACTAATAATTACATCATTTGTTTGTCAATTTTAGCGACTGGTTGGGGTTCAATGAGTGGTTCACCCAACAGAACATCAGCACATCGTCCAACAGAATTAATGCAAGTTCGTTTAAAACATGTGCCAAATAGTCAGACCGATTGTAAAAAATTAACGTCTATTCTTGGCTTCATTGATCAACCTGCTAAAATGTGTGCATATGGAGAATGGAAATCTGTGTGTCAGTAAAGTCGCGTAAATTGTGAATATCTATTTTCTAAGCCTAATCTCATTCTTCTAGGTTTTGGTGACAGTGGTGGCCCATTAATTCGCAAACGAACAACAAATGGCGGTCAAACGTATTATGAACAAGTTGGAATTATGTCTGGTACAATTGACTGCAGTTTCACGAAACCGATGCCGGATATTTACGCCAATGTAAGATATTTATCAAAATTTATAACTGATTCTGTTAAAAAATCGCCATAAATGCAATCCAAATCATGATCAATCCGATCCAAATCATGATCAATACGAACAGATCTTTTTAATAATTGCTTAATTTTTATAAATCCTTTTTTCAAATAAAATACATGAAAAATTATTCTCTTATCATAAGTGACTTCAACAACGGACATGAATCCTAAAATAATGTTAGACTAGACAGTTCGGTCTCACGAGCGGTATCCCGTTCGAAAATAGAGTATATTCCGAACGGGATATCGGAGAAAATTTATATCCTAATCAGGATATTTTTACAAAACATTTCGAAAAAATCATTATCGCAAAAATCGTGACGGTATTGTAGAAAAGTGATTAGAGCATAAGAAAGTGCATGAAACCCTGAGTCGAAATCCATCTCGCTCTAGTCTTGATTGAAAAGTCTACCGTTCATGATCTTTTAAATCCTAGTCGGGATATACAAAATAGCTTGATTGGGATATTATCCTGTTCGAGATGTGCATAAATAGTTCGATGTTTTTTTGAGTAGCTTATAAAGGAGTCCAGATTGTAGTAATCTACGCGCTTTGCCTGCTCCATTTCTGTTCAATGTTATGGATAATAAATAAGAAAAAAAACCCGAAAGAAGTTAACATATTTTTCGGTGTATTTTGAACTACATAAACCGAGAGGTCTGTATGCGCTAAATTGCCAAAAGATTATGAAAGTTTAAAGTATGGAATATCGGTGTGGGTGAAAAGTCTAAGGTATATGCTTAATATCTCTTCTTCTATACTTAAACGAAGCCTCGACAGTCAACGTCTCGTTTTTCATTTTTTAAAAATAGAATCAGACGTCAATGTGTATCACTCTATGACTATTTCTGAACGTAGGATTTTTACAAGTGAAAATGCTCTGTAGTCTTGCTATGGATAAAACCAGTCTTCTTCAAAGATGAACTCACACTCACACACTCAAAACCAAAAACCACCGTGTCTTAATGTGTCTCCAGTATACCATATCCCGAATGGGATATATATCCCGTTTGGGCTATGAGTAGAGCCCATCGGGTCCATGATTTTTGGACCCGGACTCGATGATAAAAATTTATTCAAACTCGGACCCGGTTGGTTAAATTTTTTTGTACCCGGATCCGCTCAAACAAAATTCTCGAATGCGAACCCAATAATTAATTCTTTGTGATTCGTGCCCGAATCACTCATTTGAGATCTATAATGCAAAATTCTAGTTCGGATTTGATAATCGATCCAAAGATAGGATATCCTTTTTTTTCATTTTTTATCTTCGACAAGTAACATATTCTACATATTCTTTAAGTCATCCGATAGTCCGATAGCAATTCTATAATAATTAAATCAAATTCGTTCGTATTAGTTTCTGTCGAAGAATAAAAATGTATTTAAAAAAGTTTCATTATTTCTTTTGTATAACAACTATTTTATATTATAGTAGTCGTTCTCTTTGTTTTACTTAATAAAATATGTATACAAAAATCTAAAAAAAGATCATGAGTTTATTGCTAAACATTTTTGAATAAAAAGAACAGAAATAAACGAAAATAAAAATAATGGAATTATTTTTTATAGTGGATTTTTTTCTGGCTAATAAAAATTGGTACAACATGCCAACAGGATTGTTACTACACCGAAAAACCATTAAATATCACCCACCAACGAGAACAATAAATACCTAGCCAATGCTACAATCAATAGTTTTCTGGTGTGGTAACAATCCTGTTGGCATGTTGTACCATTATTAGTATATTCGTGTAAACATTTTGTTGGATTAGCAATTTT